CCATGCTACATGTGATTGAGGTTGTTTTCTTCGTTGTCTTGTCACTGTCTCCTCCTCTGTGGTGGGGCTGTATTTGCTGTCATTGGTGACACTGGATCACTAGAGCACATTTCTGCCGTGTAGCTTCATACACCTGCATACATCACAGGATTACATCATGGTAGGTTATTATCCTTATTCTTTAGATGATACACATATCATTATTTCCTAAGAAGATTTGAATTCATGTGCATATATTATTCTTTATTACTTGAGGATTTGAATCTGCATCTGTGAATCACTCTTGCAAAGTGCATTTAAACTGTTTTCATACCTCTCTGATCTCTAACCTTATTAACTAATTACTGATTAACATAAATTGATTCATGCAGCACATTTGCTATATTAATTACCCCTTTTGCTGTTTGTTTTTACACCTTTAGTTCACAGTAAGAGACCACAGTGTGGTAGACTGTGATATAGTTTGACATGACCGCCGTTAGTTGAATCATTTACAATGACCAAATGATCATTTACACAACAAAGTTACAGATACTAATTAATATTTCAGTGCCTCAAAGCTCTTTTTCTTCTTTTCTTCTTTGCTTTGTCCTCCACACAAAGTAATTTGGTACAAACCCTGAAAAGTACTGAAATAGCTCAGATAGGGAACTGAAATCATATTGAATGACAAAAAGTCCTACAGTTCATCGGGCATAGAAACATAAAACCCTGCAACCCACAGACAAGAATGGGCATGGTTGTATATCACCCATACTTTTCTTTCACCTTTAAAATATTTCAAGGCAATACAAAAAATAAAAAACTTAGCTATTAGTAGGTTTGAATTTTTTAATTTAGGATTATTTTACTTTTTTCAAAAATGTTTACTTGGGTTCAGGATTATTCTTCATAGTCAGACTGCAAACAGAGCCCTAATTTGGTTTACATATTTTATCGGTGTGCGTGTTGAATTGTTATCTTGCTCTTATGTGGTCTTATTCTGTCTTGTTTGTTATTTTACTGTATTGAACCAAATCATATATACAGAGCACAGACAGCTAGTTAGTGAATAGATAGATAGATAGATAGAAGATAGATAGATAGCATAGATAGATAGAATAGATAGATGGATAGATAGATAGATAGATAGAATAGATGATAGATAGATTAAGATAGTAGTAGATAGATGTAGATAGATAGATAGATAGATAGATAGCACCATCATGTGGTTAAAACAAGTCAAGTGCTCAAACCAAATGACTGTAAATTTCCTCTTCTTCTGCAGAGTGATGAGATGAACTCCTACGACCTCAGCCTCTTAGAAGGCATGGATGACCTGTTTAACCAATCTGACAACTCGTCCATTGGAGAATATTGCTGTGAGGGGGGTGATGTCTGTGACCTGAAGGAGACCATGTATTTTGAGGCAGTGTTCATCCCAGTTCTGTACTCTCTGGCATTTGTTGTGGGTGTCCTGGGGAACGGGGTGCTGCTGGGAGTTCTGGTTCAGAGCAGGAAGGCCTGGAGTGTGACAGACACCTTTATCCTCCACCTGGGCATAGCAGATGTGCTGCTGCTGGTGACGCTGCCCCTCTGGGCTGCACAGTCCGCTCAAGAAACTGGCTGGACCTTTGGCACACCTCTCTGCAAGATCACTGGAGCTGTTTTTACGGTAAGAGTTGTGCGGCAGGAAAGAGGCACTAAAAACTGTCTGCATTAAAGTGTATCAGATTAAATATGTAGTTGTTGCAAAAGGATTTTTCACTTCTCTTTGACTGATTTCTTTGTACCCTCAGATCAACTTCTACTGTGGGATCTTTCTGCTGGCCTGCATCAGTCTGGACCGCTATCTGTCCATCGTCCATGCTACCCAGATGTACTCCCGCAGGAACCCCTGGGTCGTTCAGGTCAGCTGCTTGGCAGTGTGGCTCTTCTCCATGTTCCTCTCTATCCCTGACTGGATCTTTTTGGAGGCGATGACGGATGTGAGACGGGAGAACAGAAAAGAATGTATTTCCAACTACAATAAGTTTGCCCATGAGCCAGTAAATGACTATGAGTCAGTAAATGACTATCAGTCAGTCAATTACTCTCTGTCAGAAGGTGCCTGGCAGTCAGTACATGACTGGCAACTGGCATCACGGCTGCTCTATCACATTGTGGGCTTCCTGATACCTTCAGCTATCCTGATCTTCTGCTACTCCTGCATCTTGCGCCGTCTGCGATGCGGCTCCCAGGGCCTTGAAAAGCAGAAAGCTTTTAGGGTCATTGTGGCCGTGGTGGTGGTTTTCTTTATCTGCTGGACGCCATACAACATCACACTCATGGTGGACACACTTCACTCTGAGAATAACAGCATTACCTGTGGAGGGAGAACATCTCTGGAGAAAGCCAGGGTAGTCACATCCTCTCTAGGTTACCTCCACTGCAGCCTCAATCCCATCCTGTACGCCTTTGTGGGTGTGAAGTTCCGGCGTCAGCTCCTGAACATCCTGAGGTCTTTAGGCTGCAAGCTGAAGTCAAGCGTCAAACTCCAGGCTACTGCCAGCAGGAGAAGCTCCATTTGGTCTGAGTCTGCCGACACCTCCAACTCGATTGCTATCTGAGAGAGACACACAAACCTTAATAAGCTTACTGACTTAAACTGACATGGAGACAGAGACATGTACAGCTGAGTGTCCAATGCCCTGCTTTACATTGCCTGTGTTATATAACCTTTCACAAGCTATGTTTCCTTCAATTTCCTGTAGTTCTTAAGGCATTAGTAGCTGAACGTGAACATGATCACTGTCTGAGACTTGAGGTAATACACCTGTACTTGTAGGCAGCAGATCTATGTTTCTTGTATAGCAGAATATATTTCCCTTTTCTGACTGCAAGACAACATTGTAACATAAATAAATAAGGGCAGCATGTAATACTGCAGTGAGTGTTATTACTGTATTTGAAATACAAACATTAAAATGAAAATCATTTATACCACGATTATACTGTATATTGCATTGTGTTTTTTGTATTGTTATGTTTTCTGTATGAAATGTTCAAATAGATAATAAACTGTATTTTCTGAACCATACCGGAGTGTGTTTTCGACATTACAGCACAGCAACAGGACCAAAAGGACCCTTTAAAGGCCACACTAAATGTCTTAACATGTTGCTGTTGTGTAGGCAAAACAACATATCTGGCAGTATAGAGAAGGGAAACATCTTTGAACAGCAAAATACACAAAAAAATAAACAGATTGATTAAAATTAAATGTGACATTTTATAATGAAAAAATACCTATAAGATTGTACAGAGTTTAGTTTGTGGGTCAGTCAAAAAGGCTGTGAATGAACGTATATAGCAGAGGTCTTTCCTGTTTACAAATGCCTTTGCTTTGCTTCCTGTACCCAGACCAGCTCCATGTTTTTAATGACTGTGTAATGTAGCTTCCACTGCAGACATGGAGCCAACCGATATGCCTTTGCTGGGGTATGATGTCTTGCTTGTATTATGTGCTTCTTTTGTAATTATTACATTACATTACACAC